CTCTCTGCACCCCTGCTCTCATACCCCCTCAGTATTGTCCTTCACCCCTCCTGCACCCCCAATGTGCCCCTGAGCACCCCACATCCTTCCGCTTCTCCGGCCACCCAGTGTCCCTCAAACACCCAGTAGCCTGTCACCCCCCTGTCACCACCCCCAGACCCTCTGTAAGCACCCCGTCCTCCATCACCAGCCCCAGTTCCCTGCATCCCTTGCACCTCTCCTGCACCCTCTAAGCAGGCAGTGTCCCCCTTTCCTAGCCTGCTGCCCCTTACACCAGTATCCTGCCTTCCCTGCCTGCACTGCCCCTCCATCCTGCTGGACCTCTAGCCGCTGGCTATCCCCAAATGCCATGTGCCCCTGCCCTAGACACCCTTCTTCCCCCTTAACCCCTTTGCCCACCTTGTTGCCCCTCTTTCCTCCCTGCTAGCCCTCCATGCTCCAGCTAGATCTTCCCTAGATCTCACCCCATGCCTGGGCATCACAGCTTGTCCTCGCACCGTGTTTGGTACAGGAATATGTGCTCTGAGGGAAGAATGAAAGGATGGCTTTGGGGGCACACCAATCCTGTCCCCGTACCAAAGTCGGGGGGACTTCTCCCATAGTGACAGCGTCCCAGCAGTCACACCAGGGAGACCTTTGAGCCGTCCTACTTCGGTTTCTGTGACGACTGAGCTTGCCGGCGGACTTTGGAGGGGCCAGTGGGTGATTAACCATCTTGCCACTCTTCCTCCAGAGCTTTCCAGCTCCAGTCTCTGACATGGCACCTGGGAAGCCTGGGAAGAGCACAGGGGCCTCGGAGGACCCCTCAGTTACACTTTTCCGGGAGTACCTGAGGATTGACACTGTCCACCCCGAACCTGACTACGGTGAGGATGGGGAGCACGGGATGGGGAGCCATGCGGGGAGCCAGCAAGGAGGCTTTGTAGCTCCAGGTGCCCAAGCCCTGTGCCAGGGCTGTTTTGATCATCAGGGAGCAAACACCTTTGTGCCTTGTCTCTGCTGGTGCCTTTGGCTGGGGCAAGGATGTCTTGAGTGCATCCAGAGCTGCTGTTGGCTTCCCCCAGCTCCAGGGTTCCCGCTTTCCATGCTGCCCTGGCTCTGGGATGGGTTGCTTGTGGTAACCCTGTCTAGATCTTCTGTAATGTTTCCATCCTGCCACTGAAATACATTGAGATGTTTTTTATAAGTGAGGAGCTCACAAAACTACAGAGGAACGGTGTTTGTTTTTTTTTTTTTTTTCTTCATGTTGCCCTAGTCCTCACCCCAAAGGGACAGTGAGGATCCACTCCTGTCCCCGCTCCTTGCCACCTCTTGTGCTCAGGGCCTCCATCACCTGTTCTCTCTGGTCACCACTTTCCTCGGTCTGGGAAACTCAGAGAGCCTTGGGGTCCCCAGGGGTCTGCAATGAGAGGGGA